AAAAAAAAAAAAAAAAAAAAAAAAAAAAAAAAAAAAAAAAAAAAAAAAAAAAAAAAAAAAAAGTTATTCGTGGAAGCTACTACACTTTTTTATTTATTTATTATTATTATTTGCATGAGATCAAACCATTCCAGTAGATTGCCTGCTGGCCAGCACAAGAACAAAAACAACAACAAAAAAAACATTATAGTAAAAGAATTTATGATGATGAGTAGTGTGTATAAAAAGGGTAAGAACATTGAACATTGTTGTCTGTGGGTGTGTTCCTTAAACCAATCCAGCTACAAACCATGTCTCTTGCAGGGAAGCTTGAGAGTGAAATAGAAGTCAATGCTCCTGCACACAGGTTTTACCAATTCTTCAAACATGAAATTTCCCATGTCGTAAATGTTTGTCCAAACTTAATCAAAAAGATTAAAGTTCATAAAGGCGACTGGAAGGATCATTGTCATGGCTCGATCAAAGTCTGGAATTACGTTGTTGGTATGTATAATCCGCACCGACTACATTCACTCGTTTATTTCTTTCAATGACGGATCTCGTTCTTGTTCTTGTTCTTGTTGTTGTTATATGATTTTGTAAGATGATAAGGCTGAAGAGTTGAAAGAACGAGTTGAATTCGACGACAAGAATCTTGTGGTGTGTATGATTGGATTAGAAGGAGATGTGTTCGAGCATTACAAAGTCTTCAAAGCAATATTCAAGTTTGTGCCAAAGGGACCCAATCGCAGCGCCGTAATTCTTATCTTGGAATATGAGAAACTTCACGATGGTCCTCCGTACCCTCACAAGTACCATGATGCGATGCATAAGCTGGCTAAGGATATTGAATCTCACCTTAAATAATAACAACCTTCGATATGTCTAAATTTGAGTTTTGTCTTTTCGACCTGTATTCTGATATGAACGAGTACGTTATGTCAGAGTTAGTTCGTTGAGATGGTGAGGGTTTCATAAAAAAAGTAAATAATGGGTATCCTCATGTACAATAAACGGATGAAACTCAAATATAATGTTTGCTTAAATATAATAGGTTATCTTTAAATATATTAAATTTGACTATTTTCTTTCGTAAAACTTTTTTAAAAACTTGTGAATATTTAATTTAGGTATTTGAATCGTCCAAATCGGTCGAGGAGAAGTAAGAATTTTGAATTTTTTTTGGGTCAGTTTTCCTTTAGATTTGTGAGTTTCTTGGAGACTTAGGTTCTAAAATTAGTCTAAAATGATTTAAGAAGTAACTTGGTTCAACTTTCATGAAGGAATACGGGGATAAAACGAATCAAAAGACAGAGTTCTAGTGATATTCGAGAACGGTAAATTTATGAGTTTTTAGCTAACTTTGACCATATTTATTTCATGATGAAGTTAATTTTTCAAATATATGCTCTATTCACAACAACAACAACGAAAAGAACGATAAAACATCATGTTTAAGGTTCTTCTGTTATAAGAAACTCTTCTCTCAAATCGTTCTTTCTACTTCGAATATTTGTTTTTGTTTCGACATATTTCGATCGTGGATCATAATTTGTTTCAAATTAATATAACATACAATTATCTCATTTAATGCAAAGTAACAACATGACAATTTGCAATTGGTCGATATTTCTTATTCGATCCACCTTTTGTTGTTTTCGGGATCGCCCATCTTATCATTTCATCTTCTAGTTCTATCATTTCTAAATGCTAATGGTATCACATATTTGTCCGCCAACAAAAATTCGGTCTCCATCTGGAAAATATTGTTCCATAAGAATGGTAGTGAAAATGAGTTGAACGTCGAAGAAGACATATATATCTAAAGGAGGAAGCACATTAATGGCCTGTGGAAATGAAAAAGCCCAAAATTTAACAACAATCCAATACAGATTACTGCTCTAGAAACAAACAAGTTTAGTTTTCTTTTTTTTACTTCTTATTTTGTCGTAAAATGACAAAAGATCATCCTTATATGGTCAAGTAGAAGAGATTGGAGAATAAGAGCACCTTTATAAACTAAATAGACACGGACACTGACTCTAAATTTCAATGTCATCAAAATAATAACTAAAGGTTGAATCAAACGTAATCATACTCGTAATAGTATGAGTATTAATTGTAATCGTAATGGTAATAGTATGAGTATTTGTGTGTATAAAAAGGGCAAGGAATTGGGTATTCAAGTGTGATTGAGTATATTGTGTGAAGCAATTCAAGAGGGTTAGCAAACCATGTCTCTTGCAGGGAAGCTTATGAGTGAAATAGAAATAAACGTAGCTGCAGAGAAATACTACAAAGTCTTCAAAGATCAACCTTTTAATGTCCCAAATATTTCCCCAAAACTTGTTCAACAAGTTGAACTTGATGAAGGTGATTGGGACAACCGTGGCCATGGCTCCGTTAAGACGTGGAAGTACACCGTAGGTAAGTGCTCTACTTGTTTGTTTACGTGAATCACTTTCTTATTCTAAGCAATCATTATATTTCTTTATGTATTTGATTTGTTAAGATGGAAAACCTGAAGTTTTCAAAGAGCAAGCGGAATTTGACGATGAAAAATTTACAATCATTATGAATGGACTTCAAGGAGATGTGTTTGAGCATTACAAAACTTTCAAAATAATATATCAGGCCGTACCTAAAGGTCTCGAGCATAGTTTAGCAGTTCTAAGCGTGGAATATGAGAAGCTTGATGATGAGATTCCTTATCCCTACAAGTACCTCAACGCCATGGCCTCTGTCACAAAAGATATTGAATCTTACCTTAAAAAATGACAACCTTTTATATCTCGTTACGAGCTTCGTCGCTTCTTGTGGTTTTGTTACATATTTCGTAGCTTCTGTGGTTTTGTTACATATTTCAATATACTTACTCTGGTACTTGTAACATATTTCAATATACTTACTCTGGTACTTGTACTTCTTTATGTTGTTGAAGGCGTGTAAAAATAAATAAGGGTTATCCTCGTGCGTAATTAGAGAAGCTAGATGATTATGTTTGCATAAATTATAATACGTTTTGCATGAATATGATCCATCATAGACTATCTTATATTTGTCAATATGAGCATAACAGTTGGTGAAGGACTATCTTTTAAAATGTTAAGAATATAAGGACTTGTGTTAAAAATTCGTTTTTATTAATCTAAAAAATGAAGCTTCGCATCTTCCATTGAATTAGTGTGTGTGGAGTGTATGTAGTAAACTAAAATGTGCCTAGAAAAGCTTGGGAGATTTAACTTACTGTATTAAGCCTAGAAACTAGCTGTTGTGTTGAAGGCCTCTCTTTAGGTACCTTACACAAGCAAAGGCATGCTATATCAAGAACTTCAGCCATTGCCCTCTCGTTCTTCTTGTCGTATATTAATGGATCGAACACCTCGCTTATTTTTCTGTCATTCCTCATCTCGAACACCCAAGAGACCAAATCTTGAAGTCCTTTTGACCTGCACATATCGATTGGCCTTTGACCAGTTAAAAGCTCTAACAGAACAACTCCAAAACTGTACACATCGCCTTGGTAGGTCGCAACTGAGGATTGTCCATACTCGGGTGGAATGTAGCCCAAGGTACCAACTAGATCGGTTGTTATGTGGGTAGCATTGGGAAGAATGAGTCTAGCAAGACCAAAATCAGCTAAATGAGCTTTAAAATTTTCGTCTAAAAGAATGTTACTCGACTTTATATCTCGATGGAGGATACGGGGTTCGCAGGATTGATGCAAATAGGCCAGCCCCTCGGTGCCCCCCCGAGCAATCTGCAGTCTAGTATCCCAGTCAAGGCAAGATGGGCCATCAGGTCTTTCATGTAACCAGTAATCTAAGCTACCATTCTCCATAAAAGAAAAAATCAAAAGCCTTTCAGCTTTATACATACAATACCCCTGAAGAAGAACAAGATTTGGATGCTGTGCACGTGAAAGAGTTTCGATTTCTGCTCGAAATTCTCTGTCCATTTGACCACAGTCACCAGACAACCGCTTTATAGCGACCTTTCTACCGTCAGGAAGGTTGGCTTTGTAAACTAAACCAAAACCCCCACATCCGATGATATTTTCTTGATCGAAGTCATTCGTCGATTTCAAAATGTCCTCGAGCGAGAGACTTCCATTGTCATTGTTTTGGAACAAAACTACCAATCCTTCCTTGACTTCCTCCTCCAAGTCATTATCGTCAATGTTAGACACTTCGTGTTCAGGATCTCCAACTCTTCCTCGAGGTGCCCGAAGTATAAACACAACCACAAGAGTTACAAGAAACACGATTCCGAACACAATACCGATAACCATACATATAATAGTCCATATAACCATTCTTGATTTGTGGGATGGTACTAGAGGATCTCGGTCAATTGATGCACATAATACGTCTTGAACGCAAAAATTGTTTCCTTCAAAGCTAGACTTCCCAAAGGTGTGAAACTGGCCTCCTTTAAGAATCACCCCATGTAAATGATTGTATGCAACACTGAACTTAGACAAGAAATTGAGCTTTTGCAGTGATGGTGGAATTATTCCTGAAAGATTATTGTGAGAAAGATCCAGAGTCTCTAAGCTAACCATCCCAGAGAGGCTGCTCGGAATTGACCCCGACAAGTTGTTGTTTTTCAGATCAAGAACTAGAAGCTCCTTAAGATTCCCAAACTCTGGCCAGATTGGCCCACTGAGATTGTTGAGGCTGAGATTCAAAGTGGGAGGAAATCTTGATAATTGATTGTACTGCAATCCACTTCCATTTTTTTTCACAAACAGAGTAAAATCCGGTGAGGAAGGGTCATCAAGTGAGAAGTATCTGTGGACGAAACTCTTTATTTCAGTCATCTCTTTCGGGATATATCCAGTGAATGAATTATTAGATAAATCCAAGTAAAACAAGAACGGAAACTGGCCGAACCAGGATGGAATATTTCCTCCAAGATGGTTCCATGACAAATCTAACAGCTGCAACTTGTTAGAACCTCTCAACCACTGGGGTATCATTCCCTTCAATCCGCAATTAGCAATTATAAAAACTTGGAGGCTCTTGAAATGCATGATAGGATCATCTCCCAACACTTCACCATGGAAGTTAAAGGTAAGAACCACAGTACTCAAATTCTGACAATGTTGCAAGACATTAAGCGCAGACGAAACATTAACAATGCTCGTGTTCGTAAGTGATAAATATGATAGGCTCTGAAAATTCCTAAAGCTTTCGGGGATCTGACCGCCGAGCTTGTTCCTAGCAAGGTTTATGCTACTCAGTTGAGTACAAAAGGGAAGATTGCTAGGTATAGATCCATGAAACCTGTTAGTCCCTAAGTCAAGTGTAACCAGGCTTGTCATTGCTGAACAATTAAGATCAAGAGTTCCCCCTATTGAATTGTTCCTCAAATTTAGGACAGTGAGTGAAGGAGAGTTTGACAATGAATTGGGTATCTTCCCACTAAACCTATTTGACACAGCAACAAGGGAACTCAAATTCACAGAGTCGTAAAAAACATCAGGAATTTCTCCAAAAAACTCATTAGATGACAAATCCAACTGAACAAGGCTTGTTAGATTCCCAACAACACTATTCAAAAAACCAGAAAGCTTGTTATTCTGAACAAAAAGATGGGTCAATTTTCTCAATCCAGAAACCTCATCAGGTATCCCACCCCTGATAAAATTTGATTCCACATGCAGTCTCTTCAAGGAAACACATTCAGCAAGTTGAAAAGGAATCGTACCAATGAACTTATTGAAACCAAGATTCAGAACCTCAATTCTAGAGGAGTTGACACAAACCCCAAGAGGAAGAACACCATTGAATGAATTATGAGAAACATTAAGAACCCGAAGGGAAGGAAGGTTTATGGTACCTGTAGAGATGCTCCCCAAGAACTGATTGAAACTGAGATCAAGAACTTCCAAGTAAGGGAGCTGAAACAGAGCAACGGGAATAAACCCAGTGAGGGAATTAGAGGACAGATTAAGAACTCTGAGGTGCTCCAATCTTGCTATTGAGTTTGGTAATGGACCAATGAGCTTCCTCCCATCAAGCTCCATCTTCACAACTCTTCCAGAGGAGTCACAAGTGATGCCAATGCAAGTGCAGCATTTCGTCGAACAGTTGGTGAGCAATCCATCGATTTGAGAACTAAAAGTGCTATGGAAGTCATGCAAGGCCTCGGAGTCATTGGAATGACAAATTGTGGGGTTTGGGGAGGAGAAATGGAGATGGAGGAAGAAGGAGATGGGAAGAAGGACGGAGTAGAAGCTTTGAGGAGCCATTTGGGTGAATTGGATGAAGGGTTTGGGAGTTTGGGGGAAGGAGATAGAGATGGGAATGGGAAATGGGCGTAGGAAGTGAGGAAGAAATGGCGTAACGTTGAAGCGCCATTGTCAAAGGTAGACGATGGTGGCAACAGTCAAATGGTTGATGGCTGTGCTCATCGTTGTCAAACGTAGAGCGTAGACCCGTTGTTAACGATGTTGATAGTTGAATGGGAGTGGATGGTGGCGGTCATCATCACGTGCCGTAGATTTCTTTTGCCATAAATAAAATAAATGACCATATATATATATATTGTTAGCAACATGCCATATCATTCATCATTAAATGTAATTTAACTAAAATTACATTTAATTACTGGATAACACATTTCTACATTATTTTTATTATAGTTTTTATTTACGGTTTAATTAGAAAAATTAAAGTGGTACGTAACTCTTGATATTATAATTTTATTTAGCTCACATAGATTAAAGTCGTTAAATACACCATATAGTATTCATTTATTTCAAAGTAAATATTATATTAATTTTGTTGAGAGTTAAATTATTTTATTTTTTGTAATTTAGAATTTACATGTTACTCTCACTTAAGCGGGTTAATCAAATCTCTTGTGAAGTGATTTAAATTTCAAGTTAATGATTTTTTTTTTAAAATTTTTTTATCTTTTTTCAAAAAATAAAAATTTTATCGGCGTTTTATCCTTCAACTTGTACATAATGGTTCGTGATTCGAATTCTTGAGGGAACGGGTCGTTACTATAAATGTATTAGAAATATTTTATTTATTCTTAAAATAATACTTAGCTAATTTCATATATATATATATATATATTAAAATCACCTTTATTAATGATATTGGAGGGGGAGAAAACATTTTATGGAACGCATTTGGGCCAAGCTCATCCATAGCGGGAAAGAGAGAAATGTCTGTCGATTAGCGCATACTTTCCCATTTGGCTTCGGGGATCTCTAAATTTATCGCAAGACATCCTGTTTTTTCCCCGTTTTCGTGAACATACCGCAAGACAGCAAGAATATTTGCCCCAAAACGAAGAACGAAGATAATCACTTACAAAAAGGATAAGCAAAGCCATTTGTCTCTACCGAAAAGGTTGGTTGATCGCTAAATTGTTTTGTTTTTTCATCGTTGAATTTGGTGGAGGAAGGAGGATTCTATAGAATTCGATTCCAGAAGAAAGGGGAGGAGGATTCATGGAGATTAGCAGCGTCGGCATGGATAATTCGGCGGTGACGGCGTTTTTGTTGACCGACGCAACCACTTGGTGGCAAGAAATAAACGATTCTCCCCTTTGGCAGGATCGTATCTTCTTAATCCTTGCTGCTCTCTATGGCGTCGTCGCCATCGTCGCTCTTGTACGCTCTTTCTCTCCTTTCTAATACCTTTCCCTTTCTGTATCTTTGTCTTGTGTTGTCAATCTCACTTTCGAATTGAATTTAGGGGAATTGGGTTTGTTTTTACTCGATGGAATTTTGGATTATCACGGCGTCTCTTGCTGATGGTTTCATTAATTTTGTTGTTATATTGTCTTATTTGTTCATTCCATATCTAATTCACCTGATTTTAAATATCCTTATGGTTTATTATGGGGTTTTATTTAAGGAATTTAATGTTTCTGATAATCCCGTTTCCGAGCTGGGAAAAGAACGAAGAGCTGTTAAACACGGGGCTTTTGTTATCTTCCTCTTGTTCCTTCTTGGTTCTTGAGAATGAAAAACTGAAGCGTGGGGGCTAACCGGTTTTAGGCAATTGAAAACCAATGGATGGGATGAAATTCGATTATACTAATCGTTTCTGGGTTTCTCAAAAGTTTGATGGTAGTGTGTTTATGCCTGGTTTTAGATTCAACTAGTCCGTATACAGTTGAGGGTGCCGGAGTATGGTTGGACCACGCAGAAGGTCTTCCATTTTCTCAATTTCTTGGTGAACGGAGGTTTATTTCATCCGTATTCTTCTTTTTTTTTTTTTTTTTTTTTTTTTTTC